GCAGCACACTAGCTTAAGCTACAGAAGCAGTTATAAAAGATTAATCCTCCTCTTACATGATACAGAGCAGCACCTCTAATTAATGACATCATTCTTCTAATAGTGTTGGTTTGGGGTCACTGCTATTGTTTAGCAGTAAATCACAATGAATTACCGTTTGGTTTCACTCAATTTATTCACTTGTGAATCAAAAAGAAAATTCAGCAATTCAGACGACAGCACGCTGAGCTGGTGGAAAGAAGCGTTTCACTTTCCACAGCTGTGCACGACACTTTTGTACCCTAGTTTAGGATTCTAGCTGACCACTACAAGGCAACGTCCTATAGGTCCAGTTTGTCTTCAGCTACGTTTACTTTTAAAAAGCTGAACATTTGGCTCTTGGATGATAAGCTGGTGAGGCTAAACACTGCTCTGTGCCATGAGGAAGGCAATGAAGGATTTTCAAAGGGGGGGGGTTACTTGTTGTTGGTGTGTATGTGGAGGGTTGTCAGGAGGTCCCTCCTCTTGTCAGTCATGCTTAACTGGTATTAGTGGGCTTTGTCATGAAGTTAACACACCACTGCAGTGCACCCAAAAAAAAAAAAGGACCCTAGGCCACACACACTAGAAAGTTAAGGACTAGACTCCACACACATTGATGTGGATATATCTATCACTGTCTTCTCTTCTTTTTCCCACCGTGTCTGTCTGGACCCATTCTTTCTTTTTCTTTCACTTCCTCTCTCTCGTTTTTTAACAGCTTGATTCATAGCACTTGGTGAATATGAATGAGAACGTGTCTGGATTCCAGAATGAGGAGTGTGTTTGCTGGGTTTCCACTGTGAAGTTTAAAAGCATCACAGAATGTTGTGGATTTACCCTGCAGGTATATACAATACTCACACAAACACACCTGCACACACACACCAGGCTCCATACCCAGAGCATCAGTTGAACAGCATTGTACTGCAGAAAGTAGTGTTGCTACAACAATGGCATGCAAAAGGCAATTAACAATGCAAGAGACACAGACCATCATCACACGTATAAATGTCGGTCTGTCCTACACAAACCTGCAAAGAAAGTCACAGTGTCAGTGAGTCCAGTTTCCTTCAGCATCCAAAGGCTCAGAAACAAACTGTGACAGGAAGAGGTCTGCAGACAAAGACACGACTGAGTCAGAGGACAAGTTTCTGAGAGTTAACAGCTGTGTGATGGCGGCTCACAGGACAACAGCTTCAAGCAGCTTAATAGTGATCGTAGTGAGCAAGTCTCAGTTTCAGCTGTGAAGACTTCGAGCTGCAGGTTTGACAGGACGAGCTGCAGCAAGAAAGCCAGATGTCAGAATGAGACAAAGAGGCTTGTTAAGACAGCCACACTGGACTACTGAAGACTGGAAGAAGGTATTATGGGCTGATGAATCAAAACTTGAAATCTTTCGTTCATCATGCAGGATCTTTGTACGGCGTCAAGAAGGTGAAAGGACGGTTCCACAGTGTGTGGCATCACCTGTCAAACATGAAGGAGGAAGTGTGATGGTCTGGGGCTGTTTGCTGATCCAGGGTCGGTTACTGAACCAACACAGCTACCACAGCACCATGAAGCACCATGCAGGACCCTCTGGTATGCACCTAGTTGGTCAGGGGTTCATCCTACAGCAAGATAATGACCCAAAACATCAGTCCAAGCTGTGCCAGAACTACCTCAGGAAAAAG